AATAACGAACAGCTTATTTAAGGGTTCTTTTAGAGAGGCTCCCAGAAATTGATTCGGATCTTTTCATTTGTATAAAAAGATTTCAAAGACTTTTTCCTTAATTGGCTCATTTGAATTTATTATTTTAAAATTAAAAAAAATAATCTGATTATTTTCAATCTCCGCTATTGATTGAACCTTTTCGGAGGCGAGTGTGTGTGTTTTTTTTTTTTTTTTTTTTTTTTTAATTTATTTATATTTAACATTAAAAAAATAAGACATTTGCTTAGGAATTCAACCAGTTTTCTGATAGTTATTGTTGCTACTAAAATGCTGTTGGTCATTGCTTACTTACATGATCTTCTTAGGGTAATTTTAATCTTTCAAGGTGAGATTTATTTTCCATGAAAATTAACGTATGATTCAGCACTTCTGTCAAGGATCAGTGTAAATCTCTGCATTTTTTTAAAAGTGTCTCACACACAAACAGTGCTGAAAAGTTATCAGCCTGACGAACTTATCAAAGTGAGTATTTTAATGGCAAAAGATAACTGAATGAATATGTCTGACAATTTTTCAGTACTTAACTTAAGTTTTTTACTTCTCTTAAAATTATAGTCTAAATTTGTAACTTCACAATATTTTTTACTTGAATGATGATGAATTTTTATTTTTTATGTACTGTCAAGTTTCATCGAAACTATCATAAAAAGCACTGGAAATTAAAAAAATACAATTATAATTGACAAATTTAATTCCTGATTTGAAACAATATGCACGTTAATTTTCTATTTTTCTTTAACCTTCTGTTACTTACTGTTATGTGTAACCGGAGCTGTCAGTTTCAACAAGGAAAAATAAATCTATCGCGCGCACACATACACACAGCTTTAAGCTAGTGTTTTAAAAATGAATCGGTAACTGAATGTTATGAATTATTTGGACATTAAGTCTTCCTAACAATAACATCGCTTATAAAATATTTTCCATCTTCTTCTGTTAGTTAGTTATTGAAAATAAGATTGTAATGGTGGCGGTAAGCCGGAATGATTTTCCAACAGACAAAAAAGAATGATGCATTCTAAAAGTTGAAAAAAATTATTACTCATCTTCGTAAATTTGGTTTGGTTTAGAAAGAAAATCTGATGTTTTTCTTCCTTAGTAAAAGATATTTGAAAATTAGAATCTTTCTGAAATTGTGATTAACACAACCTTTATGGATTTCTATTTGGATAGATTGGCTGCATTTCGTTTGATGTGTTAGTTAGTGTAAAAAATTGTTTTTTTTTTTTTCTTTCAATGACATGTCTAAGTCATCCACAAAAAATGAAATATCACTTTATGCATCCTACTGTTAAATTTCTCTAGTTAAAATAATTTAATGACAATTTAACAATAACTTTTGAATTTCTCTATTCTAGTCACAATTCCTATAGCTTTCAGAGATTTTGTGAAAATTAACGAAACTACCTTCTTAATTATGTCCTAAAAACAGAAAATAATAGGCTTCTTAATAATACCTAACTTGTTTTAAAATTTATAGAGCGAAAGAAGCAAGAAATTGAATTCCATGAACCTTGCCAAAACGCAATGTAAAGAATATCCTCTTCTGACAAAAATGGAACTTCCCAGCTGAGAAATGATTTAAATTTTAAATCAATTGACATTTTTCAGCTTCCTTGTTAATTTGAACTTTCAATCAAATTCATGATTGCAACCATCATCAATTTGTTAGTGTTTAGTTTACTGTTTGTTTACTCATGTCTGTATTTGGACAGTTTTCACTTTAACTCTAAAATATTCCAGAAAATTTTTCCTATATCATTCCAGTGTTAATAATAGATTACTTCTAACTTAATAAATAGAAATTGAAGTATTTAATAGACATTTAAATGTCGCAAATCAAATTTCTCCCACACCCTTCCCCCAAAAAGTATTTGCTCCAGTTAATGTATTTTTTTTTTTTTTTCAATATACCAAATGATGTTAGAGTACCTCTCTCTAACATTGTTCTGAATTGAGGGAATCCCACAAGAAATTGGTTTGTTTTAAAAATATTTATATTATTCTTTAGTAAATTGAGACTTTACAATAGCCAGTCAAATACTTTATCAGTAAGCTTTTAGTTATCTCTTAAAATCTATTCCAAAAATTATCAAATACACTTTTAGCAAAATTAGTAATGCATGACTCTTTTTGTAGCAACAAAGTATATTTAATTATTCATTAAAGATTAAATTGAAAATTCTTTTTTCTTTTCTTTTTTTTGTGATCAGAATATCACAATGCTAAATTGTATAAATAGACTATGATTTTTTTAGCTATTAAAATTAAAGTCAAAAAGTTATTTTAAAAAAAAAATGTATGGATTCATTTTGCACTTGACTTTGTGTCTTATTCAGTCTTAGAACTTTGGCTTGGAAGATCAAATTGAAATAGTCATTCAGTAGAATTTTAAAAAGTTAATTATCAGAAAATTCATTAATCATCCTTGAAATTAAATATTCTGGCTATTACCTGATCTTGAACCCTGACTGCTAGTACCAGGAGAAAATATATAACACTATAACACCAAGCCTCTCATAGCAGACAGAAGTTACTATCTATCATTAGATAAGAGATATGCTACAACTCCTTTAATTTTCTTCGTTTGAAAATTTACAAAGCAAACTGAAAATACAAAAACATCTTCAGAAAGGGGAAAATTTTAAAATTATAATTAAAATGTTAATAGTTTTCTTTTCTTTGTTTCTCTCAATACATAATATTATATGCCTTAGCCCCAGAATCATTTAATTTTAATACTGACTGTTAATACAACTAAAGCAATCCATTCTTATGCATCTAACATTATACATTAAAATCTGATTTGTTTTTGTTAAGAAATGCAACTTGTAGCTTTTATCTGAATGCTAAACTGGCTGATTTCTACATACTTTTTATTTACAGTAAATGTTTTAGTTTCAAATATTGACTAAACTATTTTATGTAGAAAAAGCCTCTTAAGTGATTTTGTTTGTGAGAGAGAGAGGGTGCCTAATGTTTTGACTCATACTTCTCTTTTCAATCAAATCTTAGCAAACTACTGTCCATCTCTCTCTCCTTATAAATTCTGAATCTCCTGCTTAAGTAAATTATTGATTTTTGGATTTATCACAAACTAAAAATCTGAACAATCATTCAAAGAAACTGAAAAATGCATTTTTACTTCTTTTTTTTCTTTTTTTCTTTTCTGTTCACAATCTTCATTTGTTTGTAGCCTTGTTTAATAATGTCAACTTTATCCAATTATCTTGTAACTGAGCATGCTCATTAAAAAAAAAAAGATTGTTTCAAAGTATAATTATGAATACAATATTTCTTAATTTTATGTGTTTGCTACTTGTTATATGTTCATCTATTCTATCAGAAGTTATATCACATCTCCAGTTATGTTTCTACTTGGCTAGTACAAATTAAAATCTTTGTAGCTATGCTTGTACTTATCAACTATATTGTATTTGTTTGATGTTTTAGTTTAGGTCAGGTTGTAATATAATTTTGGACTAGACCTTTTGGTATCTAGTTATCACATTTGGAGCACTGATCTCTCAAGATTGTCACTCATTCTCAATACTGACAGTCATAATGCCATTGTTGTTAGTAACTGACCTCAGTTGTTATTGATTTGTACTTGAGCTTCTCACATAATCAGTTGTACCATATCATAGATGATCTTATATTTAAATTAATACTTTTCCTACCTTTTCATATACCCCCAATAAGCCAATAATTTTACAGATTTTATATACTTCTAACTGTATGGTAAGTAAGGTGGTAGGATTATGACAACATCAGATAGTAGTCATAGCTTTAAGATAATAATCTTTATAACACTTGAAAAAAATAACACAAGTGCCAGAAGTTTCATCATGCATCATTAAACCTATTCTTTAACATTTTTCCCAAAAGATGTTCAGAGTAACATGACTTGTATAAGACAAGACAATCAAATCTTCCAGATTAATGATTAATCTTAAATAGCAGCCAACCCTCAATTCTAAAAGTGAAATTTGTATTCAACCCTTTATCTATCATTTTTAATAAATTAGGATTTAAAATGACAAAAAAAGATACATTATTGAACTACTTATTTAGTTACTTAAATTTTCATAATTATAAAAATCTCAAAATTTATCTATACTATAATAATTAACACTCTGCTAACAGCAATATCTTTCTGATTAAAATGATTTATTACTAAATCTAAATCTCTACAACAAACAAGATTACCCAATACTGCAGGAAGTAAGTTTGTTTTTTTTAAATCAGGAAAGAACTACAATAACATTTTTTAGTTTTCCATATTTTTCAATAAAAAATCATTTATTCATATCTTTTTATATTCTTGATTATACAGATAGCATTTTTCACTTTTTTAGTCATCGTCTTCAATTGGGTTGTATTTCATTTGCCATCTTTCTGAAGGAACACAGAACAATCTGATGCTGCTGAAAGATTATGGAACTGCCCAAATATGCCAGGTCTCTTGTTTGAATGAATGAAAAATTGCCATGCATTTCATCTTCAGGGATTTTAGTTAACTTTTCTTTTTGCTCAGAACCAACCTGACAATGAAGCCATGTTATACAATGAGATTCACTGCTTTTAGTTTGCTGTTAACATTGTTTCCAACCTGACCACCACATTCATCATTAAACAAAGAAATATTATTATTAAAAATAAGTGATATAAATATAAGATGGCATAATGCAAGTAAGATTTTTGTTTATTTGTGATAATTGTCAATATTTGAATTATTTGCAGTAGTAATGGTAATAATAGTCATTTCCTTATAAGGAAGCATTTGGCATTTATTGACTAAGCAGCAAGTGCTACCTTTCTCACTGTGATATATTAATAATATTGCTATTAAAAGTTCATATTATGTAACAATTTATTCAATGTTTTGAAATTTTAAAAAATTCCATCAATTTGCTTCTGTTTCTTCTGTCATTTTTACTATTATTGTTCTTTTTCAGTGGTTCTTGTAACCAGTGCATCAGGTTTCATTGCTACCCACATCATTAAGCAATTGCAAGAAAACAGCTACAAGGTGAGAGGTGTTGTGCCAAACTTGGAAGATGAGGAGAAAGTTAAACATTTGCATAATTTATGTCCAGAAGCAAATGTCAAATTGGAGTTAGTTCAGGCTGACACTTCTAAGTCTGAAGCATGGGATGAGTAAGTACCTTATTTTGCATTCATTTCTATGCATATCAAAGTATTAAACACCTTGCAGCAAGTCTTCACTTAGTTATTATTGCTAAAAATACTATGATGTAAATTATGTAGAATGATCAGTCTGAATATGAATCTTGGTTTGTAAACTGAAGTCTTAAATTATTTCTTTATAATATTTCAACTCCTAAATTAATTCTGGTGAGATTGTATTAAGTGAAAATCTCATTCCTTTTAAGTTTTATATGCATAAGAGGGAGAGAGGTAAAAAAAAAAAAGAAATAGCCACAATATTTACAAAATCTGTCTATATCTCTGAGATGAGGTATTATGATTACTTGCATTATTTACATTATTCAGACTGTTATCCTCATCTTCATTGCCATATTTACAACGTTTCAGACTGTTTTATTCTTCAGGTGATTAGAATTTCAAACCGAACCCTTTATTTCGTCCACTGGGGTTAGATTGTTCTAGTTCCACGTGTCATGCCTCTTTCGGATGTCTCAGTTCTTTCACTTTAACATAACTCTCCAAGTTTTGGTTAATCACTGCTGTGGCCTGGTATTGAACTCGTAACTCTTTGGATCTAATCACTGGATCTATCCACTGGGCCATGTGTCCTTGATGGCACATGAAACTAGAACAATCTAGCCTGATGGACAAAATATAGGGTTCAGTTCAAAATTCCAATCACCTGAAGACTGGAGCAAACAATGGCTGAAATGTTGTGAATATGGCAAGGAAGATGAGGAGAACAGTCCAAATAATGTAAAAAATGCAAGTAATATTCACAAACTCTTGGAGAAAAGCAAAACTGAACTTTATATAAAATTGTTTTTGTTTATCTCTTTGCAACATGGCATTTAGATAACCAAAATGTGTACTAGAATTTTCTACAGTGTCAACTTATTCCTTGTAGATATAGAAAAAAGGATGCATTGTCTTAGTCTCTGAGAAATGATGAAAAGATAATCTAATGTATTATCAATTAGAACATGGCATTTTGAGTGATAGAATAGGAAGAGTTCAGAGCAAAATACTTTTTATAGTTTTACATCCGAGATTAATGGTATCCTTATCAACAGAAAGAAAATATTTTCACAAATTACCTCAAGTGAATATGCATGGATGAAATTAGAACCTACCACAATTTTCATCATTTAAACAGCCTATATAGAAAACCGTTTTCAGAAATCCTGATACAAAAATATTTTCAGTCAATATTTCAGTAATTCATTTAGACATAACTGCCAGCCTTTATTTCCTTTTTGAAATACAAAGCAGATTTAAATGTTTTTTCATAAAGCAATGGCCACTTATATAATTACTCACAAAACATGATATATGATATTTATTGTAAATGTATTTTGCATGAATATAAGGAGTTCTTAATAATTTCAAAGAGGTAAGAGCAAAAACACATATCTTCAAAAGAAGTTAAAAATAACATTAAAGTATGAATATTGTTCTTTTAAAATTATTAAGTTCTTTCTGGTTAAATCTTAACCTCAGATTTCCCAAAATGGATAGTCTCCTGGTGCCTGCCTCCCACAACAACTGCACTGCACTGGCACTGAGTGCTACACCCCCTCACTGAATCAGGAGAGTAGTGGGAGGGAGCAAAAGAAAGTTACCAACTAGGAATTATGAATACTTTTTAAAAAAAATTGAATCATAAAATACACCATATGACTAACACAATTTTAATAACAATTGAAATTTAACCAGAAAGAATAGTTGACTATATTTACATCAAGTTCAGTTTACCTAAGTAGTGTATACTAAAAGAAGAAAAAAAACATTGTTTATATAAAACAGAAGTATAAATATTTTCTAATAATAAAATTTCAAGTTTTCTTAATAGTCACTTTAGTGATTTAGGCAATTTTAATAATTTGAATTTTCATTTCACCTTTAAACAAAAATCTCTACATTATCTCTTATGAAAAAATAGATTTGTTACTCATATAGAATAAATTATTAAAAATTTGTATGGAACTTAATCAGAAATGGCAATAAATTTCAAGTATTAAGCCCATCAAAAAATATGAAATAAAAAATTTTCTTTGATATGGATGGTTGTTAAGACCCGGCTATGTGTTAAATAGTAGAACAGTTGGGGCTTTATAGCTGTGAAGGAGTCATAGTCACAATGGCCTGAAAGGACATGGAAGATTTTTTTTGTTTTGTTTTTTAAATTTAAAAACTAATTTTGCCTATTTTCAGTCAGTGCTGCAAATGTCCTGACCCTATCCATCTTATTACAATGATAGGAGGGAGTTACTTTCTGGAAAATAGTTCCCAATCACAAGGCTACTTTTTATCTTCTAACTGCTCACCCAAAAAAAAGGAAATCCAGCAAGCCCAGTTAATATATAATGGACTAAGCTTAGTTAAACCTGACAATAGTCAGCTATGAAGATTGAACTCCCTACAATGCTATGCAAGATTAACCAGCTAAGCATCTATAGCAAGAAAGTAAATATTTTAATATTTTCTTGAAATTATAAAAGGAATATTTTCCTTTTTTTTTTTTCTTGCATGTCAACAATAGTGGAAGTGTCCTCTTCTTGTATATCTGCCATACATCATGAATATTTTATCTTGCTTGCTTCAAAACAAAAGAATCTTTTTAAAATACTCATAAGCACTTTTAAAATGAAATTTTAATTTGCAAAATAGCACACAAACCTCTTTTTTCTATATAATGTAGTCTCTGACAAACATAATGAATTCTAAATTATGAATAATATTTAGTGTGATATTTTTAAACTAATTTCTTAAAGAACATTTCTTTACAGCATCATCTTTGTACATCCATAGACTTCAAGAAAGGACAATCTTCTTTTTTTTTTTTTTTTTTTTTTTAAATATTTATTTGAATTATGATTCAAGATAAATTAGTCTTATAGTTAACAATTTTTTTTTTTTTTTTAAAAAAAACAATATATTAATGAAGTTAGCATTACATTTTAGGCATTATTCCTGAGTGGTTTCTGTCAAAATTGACAATAGATGTAGTAGCTTTTTTATGTTTGGGCAAATACCATAGTTATAGGAGAGTGGGATGCCTAAATACTCACTCACTCTTATTCCTGTCAATCATTGTAGCATAGCAGTGATAATATATCTGGCATTTCCCAACATAAAATGAACTTGACTTGCTGATTCATTTTCTGTGTTCTTTCATCACCAGTTTTCTATGTATATATTTCATGTATTATCAATATAGTATTAGTATTTCAGTGACTGCAACATTATTAGAAAGCATCTTCACTGGTCTCTCAATTTAAATATTGCTTCATTTCAGTGGTGTAATATTTCTTTGTCATTTAATATAGTTCAAATATAAAGGGATTATTTTTAAGTCCAAGCCCTTTTAGGGATAGTTATTACAAAATAGTACTAATAAGCAAGATAGAAACTACTTCACTATTTTAATTTTCTATAGAGTCAAATAATCTAGAGAAGTAATTTTTATACATAAAAAGTTTTGCCAATATGGTATTAGTTTACAATTAGTTAAAGCCAGTAATCAACGATCTAAAACAGGACAATTATGTTGGTAAAAAAAAAAAAAATCCTGAAATTGGTTCATTTTTATAAAAAAATTACATAAATTTAAAAATTTAGAAAGTTAAACGAGAATACTATTATCATTATTTACAAAGACTTCTTCCAATTCTTTTTTGAATATGTATAAATATTTGTTTTGGTATTGTTTCATTTGCTGTGCACCCATACGGAAAGCCCCTATTAATGTCCTGCATAATTTTCTCTGTCATCCTGAAACTCTCTATACAAGTCAACTGATATGTCATCTCAAACTTTAACAGGGTGAGAAATCAAGACCAAAATGTATTTTTGTATTTGAAATGAATACTTATCTAAGTGACGATAACTGTGCTTGACTTTTTAGGCCAGTCAAAGATGCTCAGTATGTTATTCATGTGATCAGTCCTTTTCCAAAGAACAACTCCAAAGATGATAATGAACTCGTTCAACCAGCAGTGGATGAAACTTTGGCTGTCTTAAAAGCATGTATAGCAGCTAAATCAGTCAAAAGAGTTCTCATGACCAGCTCCACTGCAGCAATCTTGAGTAAGTTAATTTTCCTGTGTTTTATATATTAAATGCTGTTTCCCTTTCAGTTCTTAGGAATATAGCTTCAGAAATATATGGAATATGTTTGTATATAGCATGGGTAATGTTAACATTTCCCTATATCAAATCTGCAATCAGTATAATTAGAAAAGTCTGCTTCTCAAATGGCCAGATGCAACTCCATTCAGAGATATCAATATTATGAGTGACATTGAATGTAAATAAAGAGCTGCTGCTTTTTTTTTTTTTTTTTTTTTTTTTTTTATTAATTCCTTTTTACAAAAATGAAAAAATAAATAGTTTTTTGGCAATGCCAGCTGCTATTTTGATAGATTTATTAATTCAATAATTAATGAACTATTCAAGTCAAACATTCTTTCATCCATATTTCAGTTTAAATCATTTGATGTAAAATAGCTTTTAAAATGATTAAAGTTTTTCATTTCAGATTAAATACCTAAATTTTTTAATTCTATAACCTGTAAAATCTTAATACTTTTACAAAAAAAAGTTTTACATGATGAAATATGACTTAACTGCTTTGTGCAGCTGAAATATGTCTGTATTTCCCCTCATGAAGATGAAGATTTAGAAATTTATAAAGTTTTAAGCAATTGTGGAAAGTACAGGGTGTGATGGATAAATTGTCGTCTAAATTAAATGAAAATAACATTGACATCTCATTTTAACAGATATATTTACCAAAATTTAAAAAAATATATCTTAAAATACTAAAGAGTAAATTTATTCAATTAAATTGCTATTGTGTTTAACCACAGCCTCCAGACAACTTCAGAATCTCCTGCAACTCTTCTGGATGATCTCCTTGGTGAATGATGCCTTCAGTTCATCTTTGATGTTACAAGGAGTTTTGTTGGTCTCTCACTCAACTGCGCCCCGCTCATAATAATCAAGGTGGTTGCAGTCTGAGGAGTTAGGTGGCCAGATGTAAGAGGTGATGTGGTCGCAGAAACTGTTTGACAGCCATGATTGGATTGTCCTGCTTGTGTGGCATGGGGCAGAATCCTGTTGCCAGATATAGGATCTTTCACCCTCTTGATTCAGAACAGCACTACCTCCTCATGGTACTTGATGTAGGTCTCCATTTTGAGTCTGAGGCCCTCACCAACAAATTTGGGAGTTCTTTTCTCATCAGATTGATCAGGGAGTTTTCCAAGCTGCTGTACCTTCATAATCACCATTAGACTCATCCAACTCTTTCCAAATCCTGTGCACTGTCCTTAGATTGACACCCAAACACTCTGAAATGTTTGTATTGGAACTGTGCAAATGCCAAGCAGTACTGCATGATGTTTCCAAGTTTCTGGCAGAGTGAATTGTGTCATGGTGCTCATTTTCTCACAAGTGGTGCCTAACTGACCCTACTGTACTGTACAGTTGACAAAATTAAAAACAAACAACATGCATGTACAAAATTAAAAATATAAAATGGTGACAAAGCATTTCTTTAAATTTTAGGAAAGCTTGATATACATGGAAAGGATATTTATAATCTACAATATATATTGGGAACAAATGACATGTATGAGAATAAAGGATAAGTGAATACATGAAAATAGAAAGGAATGAAACAAAAGTGTCTTTTCTCACCTATGGACTAAGATAATTTTAATTGAATTAAATATTAGTGAGTTATGCATCAAGAACATAAAAATCAAAATGGTGCAGAGATTCAACAATCTGGATAATGTAACAACAGAAAGTGAGGCACAGAAATTCAAAGCAAATGAGAATAATATTTCATAAACTGATTACAGTACTTTCAAACTGGGATACAATATTTTGAAGTATGACATCATATCTGTCAGATGACTGATAACTCTGTATTTACTAAAATGCAAAAAAATCTTGATTTAACTTGCATCGCCATCAAAAGTAATAATATTCCTTTGTATAAAAAAAAATCAATTTATTTCCTTTACTTCATTCATAATTAACTTTGCAAAAATTACAACCTTCAAATTAAGCCATAGCAAAAAATAGTGATAAAGTAAGCAATTCAGAAAATTGCCAACACAATATGTGAAACAAATACTTGTATATTTTCAATATGATTGAGATGTTATTGAACATTTCAATTAATAATAACATAAAAATAGTTTATGAAAAATATTACGAGGACAAGGCATCATAATTCTTTTTGATAGTGTATTTAATTCTGGAAGAATAGACTTTGTTCATATAATGAAGACCTAATTCACAAATGTTTTTTTTAATCATTCCAAGCAAGGCAATAAAGCCACTAAAATGCAAGTGGTTACTGAGTGTGAAAGAACAAGAAAAAAAACACTATTAAAGAGAGAACAAAAAAAAAAACTGCAATTAAGACAGAAGATAATGATTGACATTGTATTTAAATTTTTGAAGGTCAAAATTGATTGGAAAGTGAGAAGCCAGAAGGGAGTTCACAAGAGAAGAAACTGTTAAAATAGAACTTCCGGTTACATCTAGCCATTTTCAATTGTCAAATTAGGAGACCTTGCCACCAATCTAGTATTACAATTAGGTTTGTAAAGTCTAGGTATCATAGAGGAAAGTTAATCAGAACATGATTGCCATGAAAGTATTTATAGAAAAGGTACAGGAAAGCTATGTTACTGCAGTGGGAAAATGACTAAAGCCAAGATGCCAGGTCAGGACCAATAACATTGCAGATTATTCTTTGGATTTTATCAAGGATATCTAAATATATAGCAGGAGCACCAGACCATACACGGCAGCTATATTCAAAGCATGGAAAAAAGGTAGATTTGTAAATATGTGAGGTATATTTGAGCAAGAAAACTTTTTTAGCACAACACTGTGTACCAACTGTCCTAGCAGCAGACCTTGCAAATGATTGAATATAATCTTTCCACTTCATGTCAATGGAAAACGTTAGCCTGAGAAGCTGCAATGAGTCACTCTGTTACTGGTTAGTATCAGCCATGCTGATTGAAAGCAAAAAAGGGTTCTCTCAGGCAACTAAAAGAAAGCAGTTTTGTTTAGAAATGCTAAAATTAACAAGCCATTTTTTGCCATAGTTAACAGATTGGTCATTTTTTATATCCGCTGCCAATTTGACCTTATCAAAACAATCAAACTTACTATTAAGACAGGAGTAAACAATTGTCATCAGCATAGATACTGAGTTGTGAACTGATGACATCAGAAAAGTCATTAATGAAAATTAAGAACCACATAGGTTTAAGGATAGAGCCCTGAGGGACGCCCGCATTAACACAAAAAGATTTAGAAGAGTGGCCATTCAAGACCACTTTCATTTCAGAATTTGATAAGAAAGACTGAATCAGTTCAAAAATTTGTTCAGAAATACCATAACCTTTCAACTTGTGAAGACCAGCATGTCAAACTCTGTCAAATGCCTTTCAGATATCCATAGCAACAGCCCAAGTTTCACCATTCTTATTTAAAGCTTGATAGACACTTTCAGCAATAATCATTAACACATCAGCAATTGACCTAGGGAAGCGAAAGGCATATTGCTTATCTAAAAGAAGGCCCTGCAAGATGAGATGCTTGACCAATTCAGAGTTGATTAGAGACTCTAGTATTTTGACAAAAATAGTTAAAAATCTAATAGGCTGGTAGTAAGAAGGATCAGATGGTTAGACTGAGTTCTTAAAGACTGGAACTACAGGAGAGGATTTCCAACTAGCAGGAAAGCAAGAAGCATCAATGCATTTGTATAGTTTAGCAAGAACAGAAGCCAGTTCAGGAGCACATTTCTTAAGAACTATTGCAGAGGTACCATCACGTCTACATACTTTGCAGGAATCCAGTCTGGATGGAGTTATATGTATATCACTCAAATGACTCGTTTCTAAGTGGAAAGACTGGCAAAGATACTCCAGATGAGTCAAGAGTAGAATTTATATAGAATTCACAAGCAAAATATTGTACTTTATCAGCTGAAGATGTTTCACACCTCAAATTGAATGAAGAAAGGAGGGATAAAAAAAACTTACTCTTATTTAACACACTAACGCAGAGCTGCTAGTAGTCACTAAATTCTGAATTATAAACAATGAGTTCTAGAATTAATCCAAAGTAAATACAATTTAGAATAATTTCATCGATGATAGATTTTTCAGAAATTAAAATAATACAACAGATAAAATGACTACTTTACCATGAAAAATAAACATGAAAGCTGAATTACAGAAAACAAACTAAAGCAATCTCTTATTTGTTTGCAATAGTAAGTGATAAATGGTTAACAGTAGATGATAAAGCTCATTAATTCCAAGTTTTATCTTAGAGATTTCTACACATATAAAAGAAATTCTTGACCTAATAAATGCAACACAAACCTCTATCTTTTAATAGTTGAATTGCAATGACAGAAATTGCTCCCAATAGATTAACATTAATAATCAATCTATGTATTTTTTACTATTATTAATTTTCTTACTATAAATTTTGAGTTGCTATCCCTGATTTTATTTTCCTAAATAGTGAAATTACTAACAACCAGCCTAAATTGAAAAATCCTACTAAAGAAAAATTGTACCCCTAACAAGTATCGGACTTGTATCTTTTTTTTCCCATCAGGGAAGCCACATTTTTAGCCAAATTATATTATTACCAATTTGGCCATGGTTTTTGTGAGTCTGTCAACCTAAAATGTCAGAAGATTAATATAAGTTTAAAATCTAATTTTTTTTTTTTCTAATTGCTATTTGTCTATATTTCAGGCCATTCTGATGCTGGAGGTGATAACAAAGTGTATAATGAAGATGATTGGTCTGATCCAACAAAACTTGATCCCTATGGTAAATGCAAAACTCTGGCTGAAAAAGCAGCCTGGGAATATATCAAGGAGTTATCAGGTGACTTAATTTACTGAACAATTTGAGAGCAGTCAGGATTTCATGAGCTTTGATGCTTATATTTACTTTAATGAACCAGTGGAAAGAGTGTCAAAACAGATTTTAAAAGGGGGAATGATCTGTTTTGACAAATTAAATTAAGTAATTTTCAATCCACAAATATTGACACACAAGTATTGAATCTGTCAATGAGTTGTTACACAATCAACAACTTGCAGTTTCAATTTACTCATCATTCTATAATATTTCTGTAATTAAAACAGTCTTACACTCTTATTTTCATCAGTGAAGCCTATTTAAATGAAAGAGTTAATTCCTTTGCAAATAAGTGTGCAGCTGTTCATCTTTAAAATAATACTATAAATATCTATGGGAAATGTTAAGTTTTTTGGGGAGGGAGGGGGGCAACAATATCAACATTTATTATCAAGGTTTTGGAGATAAAATAATAACCTTATTCTGAAACTACATTACCCAGGGTACTTGGATAAGTATATTTCATTTTGATCAAAGGGGGGTCCCTGATGGGCACAAACCCTCCACTGAAATTTTTTCCCTTTAATTTAAATTGGAACAAGGGAATGACTCCTATCCAAAATATAGGAGAAAGTCAGAAGATAGGGGTCACATCAGCAAAATCAAAATGAGACAATATGGATGTCAAGATAAGCAAGAAATTGCCAATCACTGGGTAGTGTCTTACAATACATATTTGTTGCATCAATTAAATCAAGTATTGCATCATATACATATCAAAGATGGAGGTCACATTGACACGATCATTGAATAATATTGAAATGCATCATTTTTCTCCACAAATTATAACAATGATTTAAAATCAATCATTTTCTTACAAAAAAATGTGTGGCACACAGCAAGGTGTGGATAATTCAGCTAGTATTGTTTTATAAAATGTATAAAATCAATTTTTCTTTAAAACACTAATGTTAATCAGAAAAAAAACACATTTAAAATAAATGTTAATATATAACATTTTACAATTGTTCTTTTAAAATGCACAGAGCATAAAATAAATTTGTTTAAGAAATAAAGAGGAATCTGTTTAAATTATTTTGTAATTTTGTTAACTTTTTTTTTTTATTCTGGTTTTCAATATCTTTTCAGATGAAGAAAAAATAGAGCTTACCGTTATCAATCCCTCTTATGTAATGGGTCCAGTACTGCCAGGAACACGATGCTTTAGTTCCGAGGTGAGAATCTTCCATCTTTGGAAGAAAATCTTCCCTCTTAAAAAAAAAAAAAATTCCTTATATTTTTTTTCTTAAGTTTCGCACTCAATTTTGTAACTTTGGTAAATAATTCTTTTTATATTCCATATTTTTTCAGGATATGAGCAATCATAGTTCTCCACAACTTCCTTTCTTTTTTTTTTTTTTTTTTTTTTTTTATTTTTTTTCTAACTCTTGCCATTACACTGTTCTTATCTTTTGGTCCTTGTTCTGCCATCCATTTACTTAGACTCATTAAGTTATTTGCTTTTTTCCCCACAAGCTTCTCTTGGCTTCATTGCAAGCCATCTTATTTCATGTTGTCCCCAAAATTTTAGTGGTCTCTTTCTGATTGTTAACAGAAATTTCTTTGTAATTTATATTCATCTTAAAACTTCCTCATTTCTCATATACTCTGCCCATAGCATTCTCAGCATTTAACATCTCTGTCACTTCGAGTCTCTTTTCTATCTGTAAAAGAGGTGTACAATATTCACTGTCATACAGAAGAGTAGATATTACATAGCAGTCAGCACACTTTTCTGTGTTTCCCTTGACATTTTCAAATCCCTTAATACTTTGCTCAATTTCTGAAAAATCATTGTTTTTTTTTATTATGCATTTTCAGCTCTTTGTGTTACACTTTGTCATCTGTTATTTTATTACCCAGATTTAAATTTCCACACCTGCTTTTGACATTCCCAATTGGCAACTTTCATTGTCTTTTTGCAGCTAATAATTAATCCTTTCTTCTTGTTATCCTTGATTATCTTATCTAATAATTATTTCAGTTTTCTTGCTGAATCTGCTATTGGTTATTTGCATGTGTATGTTACATTTACCAATAGTAAATCTTGGTAGATCTTTTAGGCCTCTTAAAATTATCTTGTTGTACAAGTTAAATAAATAAATGAGAAAACACATGAGTAATTACATATTTCAAAATATAAATTAAAAAAAAAAAAGTAATCTATTTTATATCAAACACTAAATTTGAAAAATATTTTTGCCATACATAAGTTATTTATTGCAGAAGCCATGTTTTTATAATATAAGTACACTTTCTTTTGTCTAGGTTGTAAAAGTCTTGCTGGAAAGAGATATTCCTGTTGTCCCGAAATTAAACTTCTCTATTGTGGATGTGAGAGATGTTGCTGCAGCTCATGTCAAGGCCATGACAATGGAAGAGGCTGTAGGTGAGAAAGAATGATTACAATAAAATTATATTCATCAAAATTATTCTATTTTCTATTTATGCTTTATTTACATTTTTGGTCAATTTCAAGGACCTCTACTCAAATATCAAAAATAAATATATGAAAATAATGTGTTATGAAGAGGTAAATTAACCTTAAGATGGCTCTTTGGATATATCTAAAAAAGTAAGGCTTAATATTTTATGACTTAATATTTAAAAAATGGTAAATTAAAATGGTTACAAAAATATTATAGCATAAATATCTATTATGTAATATTTGAATATGTCGTATCAAGCAATATTAACTTTATTCTAACCTTACAATTATTTTCAGGCAAACGTTTCATTGTGAATGCCAGTGAGATGTGGATGAAAGATATTGCCCAAGTATTACTCAAAGAATTCAAATCACAAGGTAACAATTTATTATGTTTGTGGGGGGGGCTTGCTTTTAGTTTCATTTGATGTAACTAGTTTACTTAATTACTCTCAAAATTTTCATTTTTAGGATATAATGTTCCAACAATGAACTGTCCCAACTTCGTTTTGCAACTGAGGAGTCTATATGACAAAACAGTGAAGAAGTTCCTACCCCAAGTAGGAAAAGTTCTTAAATTGGATAACACAAGGGTAAGCACAAAAAAATCTATTGTAAAACTTTATAGTCTGATAGTGTTTGTTTCTGTAAGGCTTGTATCCAGCCCTGTTACACTGACAGTTATATTTTTTAATGTTTTTATAAATTGATTTGAGATAGAATCCAAATATTCAAATCAAGGTAAGGTATCATCCACCTCAAACTTTGTCACGAGATATTGTTGTAAATTTTGAGTGTTAACAGTAATTTTATTGGGATTAATACTGATTTATGCTATATATGATATTAAAATTATGATACATTATAGCATTTATCTTGCAAATAAAATTAAAGCAACAATACCACCAGATGAACATATTTGAAATGCATTAAAAAAAAAAAACAATTTTGTAAGCTATCAATTTTTCTTACTGTGATTAAATTTATATTAAATTCCAATGAAATTAACCTGAAAAAGATGGAGTTGACTAATCTGATAATGTTTCTTCTTCAACCTATATAACAAACATTCAAATATATTAAAAGAAAAGATCAAGAATATTTTGAGGAGGAATAAACTGGTTTATTATTAACAAGAATTTAGTTTGCTTAGAATGTTTCCTTTATTTACTTTTTATTGTTTATGTAATGATGTACCTTTTTTTTCATTTTGGCAGATGAAGGAAACCCTTCAAATTACTCCTCGTGAAAACAAAGAGACCATCATTGACATGGCCTATTCTCTGATTGAAGGTGGCTTCATCAAGAAGAGTAAAAAATACAAGGGCCAGAATGCTGCTGAGGAAAATACTGAAAACAAAGAGGAAGAAAAGAAGAAAGAAGAGGAGGAGGACAAACCAAAAGAGAATGGAAAAGTGAAGGAAGACAGCAAAGAAGAGAAGGAAGAAGCAAAGACTGAAGAGAAGGCTGAAGAAAAAGCAACAGAGGAAAAAAAAGATGAGAAAATAGAAGAAGCTGAAAAGAAGGAAGAGGCAAAGGCAGAAAATGAAGAGAAAGTTGAGGAAAAAAAAGAAGAACCAGAAACTGAGAAATAAATGTTGGATTGATCTTTGAGAACACCAAGGCAGCAGCCATCCATTCTAAGATCTTTGAGCCTTTGTTGTTGCTTTACCAAAATACATGATATTTGATTTGCTAATTTTTTTAAAACTTCATTTGTCAAATTTTGTCAGTAAATGTTGTGGTGCCACCAAGGAAATACCACAAGATCATAATAATCCTACATACACTTGAATTAATTCATTTACTCCTGGATTGTGGCAGTTTTACAGTTCTTTGAAGAAAGAAAAAAACTGCCCTAATTTTTTTTTTTTTTTTTTTAAAAAAAAATGATTTATTCAATATTTTTTTCTCTCATGAAAAAGATAACTGGAAAAATTGACCAATTGCTTGCTGTTTACCTGTTAATTTCAGGTGTAACAAGAAAAAAACTAATGAACTGAAGGCGGGAAGAAAGAGAAAAGCTTGTGTCATCGGATATGTTGACAAAGATGATGAAAAATGAATGGTGAAAATTGTTGATGAAATTGAATATGAAGAAAGGAATGAAGAAAAATTATGATGATGGGCTATATTGGTATAACATCATTTTAATATTAATGAAATTAAATATAACAAAATTATTATAATCATGACTATAATGTTGATGATGATAATATACTAAAAATAAAAACTTTTTTTTTTCATTTTGTTCTAGTCTGATGTGGAAAAAGTAAGAGAAGGCATAAGAGAACAATTAGTAGGCCTATTAAAATTCTAACACACATGTATAATATATCTTATACATAATTGTTTATCCCACAATCTTAAGGCCAATAATTATGGACAGTAAGTGGGATAAATAAAATAGGAAAATCAAAATTTTCAATAAAAACCATCATAATAAATATTGAATTAATAGTTAAATTAACAAGTAATTATAGATCAAGTTTTAAACATTTCTGCTACCTATATTTTTTAATTCTAAATAACAAGAACTGAATGTGCTATATGGAATATTTCTAATGCATGGGTCCATAGCAATGTGAACATTGTGGTTCAAAAATGTAATTTTCCATTAGTAATAATCATCATTGGATAATGCTTTCTGAATGGATACCATATGTTTCTAAATCTGTTCTATGTTTATTTTGTTTTATTTCCTCCCCTCCCCCAGCCCCACCCAACAGAAAAAAAAACCCACAAATAAAGCAATGATGAGAGGCCTGGATGTGAAAATGCTACACAGTTCTGTTGGCTATCTTATGAGATTTTGTGACTTTACATTTTTTTTTTTTTTTTTTTTTTAAATCAAAGTGCAAACCAAAATCTTATTTTTCCATATTCAAGAGATTTGAATATGTCCTTTTATGTCAAAAAAAAAAATAATAAAAATCACAAATTTCCATTTGCCACAGAAAGCAATCTCCATTTTCAATTGTTTCTCTTATATACATGTTATTTATATTTTTACTTATAGCTACACAAGACTATTTTTTTTTGTTTTGCAAAATTTATACTGGACTGCTACATTTTTTTTTTTTTTTTTTTTTTTTTTTTATGTCTTTCTTAAGTCTTCCTCAAAAGTGCTCCTTAGTGATTCCTCCTCAATGTGTGCAATCTAAAAAGAAAATCACATTTCATATTTTGATTTCTTATGAATCCAATGAATTCACTTCCACCTAAAAATGTGGATGTTAACTGACAAATATGAAACTATTGTATTATTTTCCATAATCTCACAAACATTAATACTCTAGTTTTACAACTTGAGGACCAGAGAAAGTTATCATCAGATAATATATAAAATGGTTTATAACTAAATGAATACAACATTTGCTAGCATGAATTGTGCCTCAAATCACTAGAGTTTATTCACTGGATAAGATGAGTGGCACTTGCAATGCAAACCTCATGCATTTCATTATATAAGAATACAAGCTGTGGATTTCAGCTGGAAGTATTTTGAAAATTAAGAGAAATAGGAAAAAAAAAAATCAGTCATGCATATTACTGCCAAATACATTTTAAATTTCACTTTACCATTTACATTGACTAAATATATATATATATATATATATATATATTAGTCAATTTTTCCCTTGAGCATATTCTTGATAACAATATTTAAAATTTAAAAGAACCCTACTATTCATGGCTAGTGTGTTGTCTATCTTTGTAACTATTAAAAATCAAATTATTTTTGCTTACTCACAAATAAGTCTCCATCTTGCATCTTTGTAAAGGTTCATATTTAATATAAAAAATGTAGGCCCAATATTTCCATTAATTGAAATCTTATTAAATATTGCTAAGCTTAAAATAACATGCTGTAAATGATATTATTTTATTTATTTTTTTTTATTATAAAAATAGCAAAAAGTTTACAGCATAATGGAAATATTGAATATGTTGGTTTTTCTTCAAGCCCAGCATATCTATACTCATTTAAATATTTTTTCTAAAATACCAGAGTTTAAATTTAACCTTTTATCAAATATTTTTAATTGAAAATGAACATTTAGGAATATGTTAAAGAATTTTTTTTTAAATATGGCCTTTTTCATTTCTTCTTTAACAGGATGATAAAACAAAAAAAAAAAACACTCCAATTTATTTCTTTCAACTAAAACATCACAAGAAATAAAAAAACTTAAGGCAAAAAATAAGTTTTATGAACGTCAAAAAAAAATGACAATAGTAATTTTCTTTTTCTGGAAAAATGAAACAAAAAAATTACATTTAGAGTAAACTCAACCAAAATCCAAAATTTCTTAAAATAGTGCAAGATTTTCTTTCTAAATGCCCTTTACTGCAGTTTTTCTAATTCTACTCTATATTCCATGTCAAGATCAAACTTCAATATCTTTTTGAGTAAAACCTATTGTAACATTAATCAATGAGTTGTGGAGAAAATTTTATTTCTATCATTAATTTTTCCTGAAAAACAATATTTCTAAATAACTGTTCTACTTTTTTATTTACAGCCATACTGTATCTCCTAATAACCAATTCTAACAAATGTGTGTGTGTGTTATTTGACTAAGCATGCATGCTCTATGTATTTATATTTAAATACATACACATTAGTCAAGATATAAGCTAAATATGTACATAAATGAGGAAAAGTGCTACTTATTGAAAAATCTAAACTATGATTAAAAATGCTAGAGAGGATTGGGATATAGTCAGAAATCAAGTTGTTCACAACTTTCTTTAAAATAATAATTGTAAACATATGATTAAAATAAACTCTTTCCTTGCAATATTAAGTTCATGAAGAATTTTCCAATCAGGACATGACTGTGATTGAATAATTACTTGTAAACAAAATTTTTAAATGTTAAAAATTAGTCATCTGAAGCAAAAAAAAATTGTACACATTAATCATGATTTCTCTTATTGATGTATTTTTCAGTGTTAAAATTCTCTTGCAAGTATTGCTTCAATAAAAATAATGTACAATACTTTGACTTGCCAACAATTTCAAATTATCTATAACTAATGCTATTGCCATTATCCTGACGTCATAAATGGCATTACAATTATCATTACAAAATCTTATAACATGCTATAATGATATTGGTAGGTTTAATGTGAAAAGTAACACTATGCTTTACATAAAAGAGAGAATACCTTATTCTCTTCTATCAATGTACTGTATGATTTTTTTTTTTTTTATTGCTGTAGCTCTATTCATTGAAAAAAATGCAAGCGTGTTACTTAAATCTGACCAAATTTTTAATTGTTTGAAACCACTAATTTCATTAAGAAAAATAAAACAAATGCCATGTCTGCTGCCAATGGGAGAAAAAATTAAAATTGTATCTTTTACATTGATTGTAGGTCCTGATGGCCATTGAAAATAAATGAAAAAAAATTATAAAAATACAAAATGTGATTTGGTTGTCAACTTATTTTCAAGGCTTTCCAATAATTTTTTTTTTTTTTTCCACTTACCACCAGCAAGAACACCTCAACTTTATCCAATTCAAATGTATGAGTCTTAGAAATTACATTTATTTAATGTAATTCATTTTTATTTCCTAAAATTACTTCATCTGAGGTGGAAATGTTTTGATTTGGCAATATAAATAGCCAACAGTGCTCGAAAATCATATAACTCCTGATAGTTTTAAGGAAAGTCCATTTTGTTCAAAGTTTTTTTGGTTTTTTTTTACACAAGCTTGGCCTAAAAATTAATATTTTTTTGCACACTCCTTTTCTCTAATCATTAATCAAAAGGTAAATGATCAAATTGATTCCCATGATTTTTTTTTTTTTTTTTCTCAGACATCTAAAGCAATATTATTGAAAATCCTTTTGTTTTCTATCTAAATTTAAATGTTTTCTGCTTGATGACCAAATAAATATATCCATAGAATAAAAAGGGAGATGAGGGAGTGCCTTAACAGAAAAAAACAATTACAGCTGACGTTTTTTGGGGTTTTTTTTTTCCTTCACTGACAGACCATATTAAAAAAAAAATCTCAAATTGGCTCATTAAACAAAAGAAATGTTTTGACTAAGCTTTCTTGTACTCCTCTTTAATTCTTCCATCATATTTCTTTTTTTATGCTTGGAGACTGCAATTTCTTTTAAGTTATATTAATCTAAAAATCACTTGTAAATAAGATTTTTATCACTGATTCAATGACTATTAGTAAAACTTGAATGATGTTTTTACAAATGTTTGAGAAAATATTTTCTACTTTGGGAATATTTTTCCTTTTATATAAACTTGTTTTCGTAAGCCTTAATCTACTAGCATTTTGAAGTGAACCTCAAAATTTGGCTTTTTTTTCTTTGCTTGCTTTGCATCATTGAACTAAAACTAGGATACTGATCTGACAAAAATGTCTGTAGTAATTAAATGAGCAGTCATTAGATACGAGTAGAATTATTTGTGTGGAATTTTATAGGAATAAATAACCTGAAACCAGTCTTATTTTTACAATGTAATAATCAGGACATCATATTTGGTATAGGAACAACCGAATAAAACTTTACAGATGAAGAAATGCTACCTATTGATGAAGAAAAACGTATGGGAAAAGAAAATACACTAAGCCTTAAAAGATGTCTTCAGATTTCTCATGCTGCTATGTAGTACTGCAAAACATTCTGTGTTATTCTTTTGAATTTTGGCATATATTCCAACACTCAAGTTTAGAGGATCAAGATGAGCTGATATTAGGAGAGAAAAAGTCAACTTATGCACAAGTTATCTAAAAAAAGTACTTATGGGTGAAAATTCAGTCCAATAGTTTCAAGCTAGCAAAAAAAAAAAAGGGTTATTGATTGGTTAGGCTCAGTACTTTTCCTTGATTATCTCACAAGGAGACTAACTTCTAGAAAATTACATTTTCTCTTCCCCAGCCCCAAGTAAAAGAAAATGAATCTCACTAGTATTTGACCTCTCAACATTCATGTTCCTGTTTTATCACTCCTAAGTCCCATATTTCTTTTCAAGAAAAATAATCCTAAAAAAACTCAATCCACATAGATTTTATGTAGATGCATAATAGTGAGTCATGTGTTTACATTAAAAATATGAGAGTAAGCAAAATCTTTATCAGATGTTTAAATAGCTTAAAGCTTAAATTTGTCCCATACCAGGACAAATGATGAGTTAAGAAGACAAGGGCCAACTACTTTTAAAATTACTATTTAAATTTCTTGTTTTAAAATATTAGCCTTTTAGAAAGACAAAATTTTTCTGCATTAATATTAGTAAATATCTATATATGCTATTTATAAATAGACATTTAAATGAAAATTGACATTATGCAAGAAGTATTGCAGTTTCTATTTTATGTTGTGTTGAAGATGTTATTTTGATAAATGAACTTCAGAAACAGCCATCAGAATCTTCTGCAAAATAATAAAATTTAACAGCTCCTTCAAAACTATTAAAAATATTTCAGCTAATTTTGTATTTTGGTATTTTTAAAACTTTCACTAAAAGTAATATTTTTGAAACTACAGAAAAAACAAAAAATTGCACAATATTTTTTCTAAAAATGGAAAATACAGAAAATTCCATTTTTAATCAACATCAAAAATACAATAATCTGAACTGTTTCAATTATGTAGAAAACAGAATAATGAGTAAATGTGTTATACTAGATTTTTTTTTTTTTCAATATTCATAGATCATCAGTTTGTTTATAATACAAATGAACACAAAATTTTAGAATTGAGAGAAACAATGACAAAAGATGTAATCCCAATCAAAATAAACAATCAAGCTCAACTTATTTATAGTTACTCCAAGTTTGTCATCATGTCAACCGTGTGTGTGTGTATATATATATATATATATATATATATATATATATATATATATTAGTGGTAAATATACACATACATATGCAAAATATATAGATATATATATACATAGGTGCATACACATATGTATATTTTTTTAATAAAAAAATTCCAAGAAGGATAGAATCCATGTCCAGGTTTTCTTTTTGAATTTGTAGGTCTGATGAATTGGATTTACGATTCCAATGGAATAAATAATGACCATGGAATATTAGTGTTTAAGCCTTTTTATTATACACACACACATTAAAAGGAATTACTTAACCA